GGGGGGGGGAGGCCGGGCGTGATCCTGTCTTTGGCCTTAATCTCCATTTCTAGCTGCAAGGTGTGGGCCATCCTATTGAGCAGCCTCTGAAACTACAGAAATTTGTCCAGAGGACAAGCCATCAAGGAGTCTATATTTTTATCCGACAAAGTAGCTTCAGTGATAACACCTCCTATAGGTATCCCTTGATCATTAGGGGTCATTTCCTCATACCCTGAAGCCTCACCTCCAATGAACTGTGAACGAGTCTGAGGAAGGACAGGTTTCTGGTGCTGGAAGTGGAGGCTGGGTCATGACATGTAGCAAGGGGATTATCTCCTCCCCCAAATTACTCTAAAGTGGATTACACACAGCTAAACACATCAACTATTTAAAATAAAGGCTAGAAAAATGTCTACAGAGTGGTTTCTAATGTTCTCCATGGCAAAGCAGAAGGAAGCGAGGCAGTTGGAACTACATTTTCTAATATGGGTTCGGACAGCAAACACTAATGTCAGGATGGGGAACTATTCCGGAAAGCAGTGACTCTTTGAAAAGAGAAGTTAATTGTACATTAATTGTATATATAATTGTAAATTAAAATGAGCTCTTTTTGCAAAGCTGTGGCTAAGAGGGGCTGATACGATTCTTGGATGTACCAACAGAGGAATACTGGAGTAGGACTGTGGTATTATCTCTGCATGCAGCACTGGTGAGACCATGACTGGAATTATATTTCCAGTAATGACCACATTTTTAAAAAAGGACATTGAAAAACTGGAAAGGGTTCAAGTAAGAGCTAGAAGGAGCAGTCGAGATGTGGAAAATGTGCCCCACAGCGAGAGACTTAGGACATTCATCTATTTTGTGGCTAAGAAGAATGGCTCCCTTCAACATTGTGTTGATTAAAGAGCTGACTTGATCATAATCAACAACTACTTATGTGGAGAGAAGATTTCTGATAGCACAAAACTCAATCTATCAGACAAAATAATACAAAAATCTAATAGCTGTAAATTACAGCTAGACATATTTAAACTGGAAATTAGGTACAAGTTTTAACATTGAGGATAAGCAACCTTTGGAACAACTTAGCAAGGGATGTCTTTACATCAAGAGTGGATGTCTTTAAAAGCCAGGCTCTAGCTCAACCACAATTTATTGAGTGTGATGCAGGATTTCCCTGGGTGAAATTCTATGGTACGTATTATGCGGGAGGTGAGATTCGATTACCATAAGAGTTCCTTCAGCCTTAAAAATCTATGCACTTACAACCTGGACTTAGTCCCTACAAATCGGTGGGGGTTTGGGGTTATTTCCCCCTCCTCCCCAAAACTCACCAGTGCAGATAGTTAATGGAATAGCTCCAGTGGTCCTCAATATGCCAGCAAAATGAAGAAAAGCACATTCCTACATAAAGCCAGGGCAATTTCATTCCACATATATCTGCAGTGATGTGAGCAAGTACAGATTGCTCCATCACAGGCATGTTGTTCAAATTCCAGCCACTATCAAGATATTCCTAAAAGTGGAAGAGAAAAAAAAAAAAAGTACATTGGTCTAAGCCACATCAAGTAAATAACTAAAATTGAAGTAACTTACCTGTTCAGTAACTGAAGTTCTTCGAGATGTGTTATCTATATGTGTTCCAAGTCTGATGCATATGCACTGGAGTTTGGAAGGCTTTGACCAGCAATGTCCATTGATTGCACAGGCTCCCTGCATAGCATCAAGCCCTCCCCAGCTTGAGGATATAAAGGGTGTGGAGCAACCAACTACCCGCGGTTCCTTCACCACTACCCAATCCAAGTATTAGACTCAAAGGATATTGGTAAATGTATCAATTGATTTAAACGAAAATCAGACAGCACCTTAGGAAGGAATTTAGAGTACAGTCCGAGAATAATCTAGACTTTGTGGGAAATCGTAGACTAATATACCCTGCCATAAGTGCTTGCTACTCACATGTGAGAAATGTAATAGCGATAAAAAATGCTGTTTTCAGGGACAAATGCAACAAGAAACAAAAAACCAATGGTTTGAAAATCCTGTCAATACAACAGTGAGATCCCAAAAGGAGTAGGCTACTGCATAAGGGGGAATTAACTGAAAGACCTGAAGTTTTCAAAGATAATCAGTAATCAAGAATAGGAATTGTCATTTCCATTGGAGAAAGATTGCACTGTGTTCACACATTCAGACTTCAAGAACAGAAGGGATCATCATGATCATCTAGTCTGACCTGCACATTGTGGCCACAGAACCTGAATCACCCACTCCTGTAATAAGCTCATAACCTCTGACTCATCTACTGAAGTCCTCAAATCTTGATTTAAAGACTTCAAGTTACAGAGAATCCACCATTCATTCTAGTGCAAACCAGCAACTGACCCATGCCCCACATTGCAGAGGAAAGCAAAAAACCCCCAAGGTCTCTGCCAAACTGATCTAGTGGAAAATTCCTTCCCAACCTCAAATATGGCAATCAGTTATATATATATGCGCATATAGGCAAGACCCACTACACAGACAGCTGGGAAATAATTCTCTGTAGTAACTCAGAGCCCTCTTCCTCCAGTTTCCATCTGCAACCGTTGGAGATATTTGCTAATAGCAGTCATGTCTTGGCCATGTGCCATTGTAGGCAATTTCAATCATACTAAATTTATCAAGGTCAGTCTTGAAACAAGTCGGTGGTTTTTTTGCCCCCACTTCTCCCCTTGGAAGGTTATTCCAGAACTTCACTCCTCTGATGGTTAGAAACCTTTGTCCAATTTCAAACCTAAACTTAATAATGGTCAGTTTATATCCATTTGTCCTTCTGCCAACATTGGCCCTTAACTTAAATAACTCCTCTCCCTCCCTCCCTCCCTGGTGTTTATCCCTCATATGTATTTATAGAGAACAATCATAATTCCCCTCATCCTTTGTTTTGTTAGGCTAAACAAGCCAAGCCCCTAAGTAGTTTCTCCATTCCTCTGATCATCCTAGGAACCCTTCTCTGTACCTGTTCCATTTTGAATTTATCTTTCTTAAACATGGGACACCAGAACTGTACACAGTATTCCAGATGAGGTCTCACCAGTGCCTTGTATAATGGTAATGACACTTCCCTACTGCTACTGGAAATACCTCATCTGATGCATCATAGAATCATAGAATATTACAGTTGGAAGAGACCTCAGGAGACCATCTAGTCCAATCCCCTGCTCAAACCAGGACCAACACCAACTAAATCATCCCAGCCAAGGCTTTGTAAAGTGGGGCCTTAAAAACCTTTAAGGATGGAGATTCCACCACCTCCCTAGATAACCCATTCCAGGGCTTCACCACTCTCCTAGTGAAAACAACAAAGAGTCCGGTGGCACCTTAAAGACTAACTGATTTATTTGGGCATAAGCTTTCGTGGATAAAAAACCACTTCTTCTGATTTTTTACCCACGAAAGCTTATGCACAAATAAATCTGTTAGTCTTTAAGGTACCACCGGACTCCTTGTTGTTTTTGTAGATACAGACTAACACGGCTATCCCCGATACTTGTCTCCTAGTGAAATAGTTTTTCCTAATATCCAACCTTAGACCTTCCCCACTGCAACTTGAGATCATTGCTTCTTGTTCTGTCATCTACCACCACTGAGAACAGCCTAGGTCCATCCTCTTTGGAACTCCCCTTCAGGTAATTGAACGCTGCTATCAAATCCCCTCACACACTCTTCTCTTCTGCAGACTAAATAACCCCAGTCTCCTAATGATTTTCAATGCCCTCCACTGGACTCTCTCCAACTTATCTACATCCCTTCTATAGTGGGGGACCAAAACTGGACACAATACTCCAGGTGTGGCCTCAGCAGTGCCAAATAGAGGGGAATAATCACTTCTCTCAATCTGCTGGCAATGCTCCTACTAATACAGCCCAATATGCAATTAGCCTTCTTGGTAACAAGGGCACACTGTTGACTCATATTCAGCTTCTCGTCCTCTGTAATCACCAGGTCCTTTTCTGCAGAACTGCTGCTTAGCCAGTCGGCCCCCAGCCTGTAGCCATGCATGGAATTCTTCCTTTCTAAGTGCAGAACTCTGCACTTGTCCTTGTTGAACCTCATCAGATTTCTTTTGGCCCAATCCTCCAATTTGTCTAGGTCACTCTGGACCCTTTCCCTACCCTCCATCGTATCTACCTCTCCCCCCAGCTTAGTGTCATCTGCGAACTTGCTGAGGGTGCAATTAGTCCCATCATCCGGATCATTAATAAAGATGTTAAACAAAACTGGCCCCAGGACCAACCCCCGGGGCACTCCACTTGATACCACCTGCCAACCAGTCATCGAGCCGTTGATCACTAGCTGATGAGTGCGACAATAGCCAGCTTTCTATCCACCTTATAGTCCATTCATCCAATCCATACTTTTTTAACTTGCTGGCAAGAATACTGTGGGAGACTGTATCAAAAGCTTTGCTAAAGTCAAGATATATCACATCCACCGCTTTCCCCATATCCACAGAGCCAGTTATCTCATCATAGAAGGCAATCAGGTTGGTCAGGCATGACTTGCCCTTGGTGAATCCATGTTGACTGTTCCTGATCACCTTCTTCTCCAAGTGATTCAAAATGGATTTCTTGAGGACCTGCTCCATGATTTTTCCGGGGTCTGAGGTGAGGCTGATGGGTCTGTAGTTCCCCGGATTGTCCTCCTCCTTTTTTAAATATGGGCACTGTATTTGCCTTTTTTCGAATCGTCCGGGACTTCCCCTGATTGCCACAAATTTTCAAAGATAATGGCCATTAGTGAGGGGGGATTTGATAGCAGCCTTCAACTACCTCCAACAAGGGGGAGAGATAGCTCAGTGGTTTGAGCATTGGCCTGCTAAACCCAGGGTTGTGAGTTCAATCCTTGAGGGGGCCATTTAGGGATCTGGGGGGGAAAGAAATCTATCTGGGGATTGGTCCTGCTTTGAGCAGGGGGTTGGACTAGATGACCTCCTGAGGTCCTTCCAAACCTGATATTCCATGATACCTGAAGGGGAGTTCCAAAGAGGATGGAGCTAGGCTGTTCTCAGTGGTGGCAGATGACAGAACAAGGAGAAATGGTCTCAAGCGGCAGTGGGGAAGGTCTAAGGTTGGATATTAGGAAAAACTATTTCACTAGGAGAGTGGTGAAGCACTGGAATGGGTTATCTAGGGAGGTGGTGGAATCTCCCTCCTTAGAGGTTTTTAAGGCCTGGCTTGACAAAGCCCTGGCTGGGATGATTTAGTTGGGGTTGGTCCTGCTTTGAGCAGGGGGTTGGACTAGATGACCTCCTGATGTCTCTGCCAATCCTAATCTTCTATGATTCTTTGGATCAAGGCTGGTAAGGGACTTCCAATCCCAATCCTTACATTTTCCCTAACATTTCCTTCACCCACACAATAAAGACTATTAGAGGAAGTTTCATTAAGGCTCATAGCAAATGACAAACAAAGTTTAAAACCCTAAGGAATTTTGAGCAGACACTGGGAAAAACAAAACAAAACAACATGATTAAACTAAAAACCTAACAAGTAAACGATGATATAACCTAACTACCACAAACTAATCTATTTACAGATAAACTAATATGTGAGTGGCCAAGATGGGACATGGCCAACCAGCTCTACCTCACAACTTAAAGCAGTGAAAGGAACCGAGGCTTGGTTGGATGCTCTGCTCTTTCATACCTTCAAGAGAAGAGGGAGCTTGAGACTATGCAGGGAGTGGGTGGAACCAACAAACACTGCTGGCTAAAGTATTCCAATCTCTAGCACATGGAGCATATGCATGCTAAACATGGATCACATATAGATAAGCAATCAAAGAAGGCAGCAAAACTTTTCAGAGGGCTACTTCTGATAGAATAAATTAGTCTTTTTAGAATGAAAAACATACAAATAAGGTCAATAAAATAACAAGAACTTTAACATCCAATGCACTTGCTCCTCTTTAAAGAAAATCTCTGTGCTAGGAATTGCTGCAATAAAATTAGGCTACTCTTTCAAAAAATATAATTTGGAAGCTGTCAACTTCTAAGATGCACATTTGTCATTTTAAAAGTCTGCTTATATATAATGTTAGTCCTCCAAGACTGCAATACCATTTCCTTTTGTCAGAATAGTGCCAGTCACACATACAGCAGGAATACACTGTAAAAAACGGTTACTCACCTTCTTGTAACTGCTGTTCTTTGAGATGTGTTGTTCATGTCCATTCCAAGCAGGTGTGTGTGCGCCGCGTGCATGCCAGCCGGAAGATTTTACTATAGCAGCGTCCGTAGGGTCGGCTCCGGCGCCCCCTGGAGTGGCACCCTCATGGCGCTGTATATAGGGGCCGGACAACCCCCCCCCACCCTCTCAGTTCCTTCTTGCCAATACTCCACCAAAGGGGTAGGAGGGTGGGTATTGGAATGGACATGAACAACACATCTCGAAGAACAACAGTTACGAGAAGGTGAGTAACCGTTTTTTCGAGTGATTGTTCATGTCCATTCCAAGCAGGTGACTCACAAGC